CAGCGGGTGYGCTCACGGGCCAGCGATGCAGGTATGGGGGTCAGGGCGGAGGCGGAGGCTGCCCGGCCTCCTTAGAGCAGGAAGCAGGAAGCGCAGGGCCCTCRCCTCAAGCCCACGTTTAATACGTGGCCTCCAGCCAAGCGCTCTGCCTCAATCTGCCTCTTCCCAGCCTGACTCACGGCCGCRGCGCTTGGTTGGTACCTCGCGCGGTCAGAGTGAGAGGACTGYATTAGTTTAGGGACTCTGCAGTAACCTCTGAAATCCCAGGAAGGCGCCTGGATATATTTGGGTGCTGGTTTGGTCTGCTAGTTTGTGTGGTTGTTCCAGTCCTACGCTTAGGCACTATGCAGCRGTGGACAAAAACTATGTGGAAAAGCTTGGGCTTTTCACTGCAGCTTTGCACGGGGGAGGAATGTTTTTAAGCCAGCTGAGCTTCCTGCCCTACCTCCATGCTTCCTCTGGCCCATGATCCCAACACCTGGGGATCCGGAGCRGGGGCTGCTCCCAGTTTTTCCAGGACTTAGCTGCATTCAGGGCTGAAAGGCCCTGCCCAGGTAGTTGGCACTGCCCAGGAGGCTGCTCTTCATAAGCTCGGCTTCTTGTCCTGACTGCCGTAATTCCAGCCTTCAGGAATGCTGTCTCCATGCATCAAGGTATTTCTGCCCCTCCTCTTCCAGAAAGCCCATAGACTGACGTGACAGTATGAAATGTTGTTCTGTTTTTAGAATAAACATCGCACTTCCAAAATGTTTTCATCAAGGATTACTTACATTGCAGATGAAAAATAATAACTGGCTGGTGCAGATACAGTGGAGCAGCCTAAGTGCACGAGCGATGAGGGTGTGATAGCCCGTGAACTGTTCAGCTGATGTGACCTAGTTCAGCTCACCTCGAAATGAGCAGCCTTGTGACCTTCAGCCAGGTAGGTGGTGACTCAGCTGCTTGGGCATCTACTGCAGGGGGACCTAAGGGTGCTCTTGCCAGGCCCTCCCGAAGAGCTGCTCGTGGAATTTTCTGTGACTTCCAGCTTGCCCAATCTTGCAAACAATTTTTTYTTTTATTATGCTATTTATCTTAAATACAAATGGCTGTTATCTGGCTGGCACTGCTAAGTTCTGTGCCCGATATCAGCCATAAATGATTCATTCTTCTCAGAGCATCAGGTTTTTTAATTATAGCCGGAGCCGGTGTTTTATATAGTCCGTAGCTCACCGTGACTCACTGTATTTGGTTGCTGCTTGCAATGCAGGTTATTTTTGTGTAGTGCCCTCCTGCTTGGGGTGAACCATGTGCTCTGGAGAGGAACAAGTGAGCACCCATCGGGTGGGCAGGGAGCGGGGCACAAGCAGGGCTCACAAGGAGTGCTCAGCAGCGGGGATGCGGGTACCTGTGGGTGAACAGTGCCTGCAGGCAGGCGTGGAGTGGAGCACGTTTGGTGCCGTGTTCCAGGCTCCAGTCTGCAGAGCACTGTCTGCATCCCCCTTGCTTCTGGGCTTCAGTCTGCAGAGCACTGTCTGCATGCCCCTTGCTCCTGTTGTATAGCTAATTCTGGAACCCAGTTCCGAGGCTCGGACTCAGTGTGCCCTGTGGTGACACACGCCACGTGTTACAGCCTGTGTCTGCCCTGGCACGGGCATCGCTTACATCCTGTACGGCCCAACGCTCAGAAGACGCCAGGTTCCAGCCTTGCCGGGGTTGCGTGTGGAGCTCCCTTGGAGCGCGGCGGCGGCTCCTGCATGGAGAGGAGCAGCGGAGGAGCAGGGAGCAGCGCTGCCGCCCGGGGCGCCCGCGGGGCTGAGCCGCACGCGCCGCCTGCAAGGTGCCGCTCGCCGTGCAGGAGGGAAGGCTCGCAGCGCTCCGCAGGTTTAGCCATGGAAAGAACTGTTTCCCTTTTGTGTAYTGTCTGAYGTATTGCTTATGTGCTTGTTYTTTTAGGTGGAAGAGAACCCCTGCTTTCCAGAGCCGTCACAATTAGGCTGTTAGGGAGAGGTGGAAACCCGCAGGTGGAAGCCAGAGGCCAAACGTTTCTGTTTCACAGCGGAAAACTTGATTCTGCRAGAAAGTAAGTGTATCTGGAGAAACATCTCCAGGATAAAGAAATCTCTGAATGCTTCATATTTCCATGGTTTCCATGAAAGCAAGTCTAATTTGAGGTAGTTCACAGCTATCCTCTAGGGAAATTGAAAATGAACAGATGTACATCCCTCTGTATTGACAGCTATGAAGGGATTCAGCCTAGAGTTCACCATTTAAGAGAAAATGCAACAGCCRGTGCCTCGATCTGCTCAAGGTGAGATGTAACACTTGCTGAACAAGCTTTTCTTTGGGGAAATGCAGGCATTGCATCATGCTAAAATACTTGAAGCTATTGATTCATTAGACTATTTTACTTGGAGCAAAGAAATTAAATGAGCAAATGGAATGAGTATGTGTGGCCATCTGACGCACTAATGGATTTTTATCCACTGCTCAAGTGAATGAGGTGCAAAGAGGCCTAAACGCATCTTGGTGTGAAAGTGCCACCCCCATTAGACCCAGACTAGTAAAGCAGCACTGCAGGCCTGGCACACAGAGGCCTGTCTGTGTACAAGCATATACCTTCCGTGGTTTTATTGGCAATTAGTCCCAGAAAACTACACCTAGGGCAACACCAGGGCTTGGCCTTTCCAGGACGCATACAGTAACACTTGTAAATATTGTGTGTCCTGCATTAAAGCTGGGGACGGATGTGCTTGCTTATTGCTGAGCACAGAGCGTTAGTGACGTGTAGGAATGCAGCTCAGTGCTTTCTTGAAGACAGGGAGTTTTCAGTGCAGCTCTGCAGAGCCCATGTTCTTCAGACCCTGCGCGCTCTCCGTGCGTGCCCAGGCTTTGGCTTATACAGGTGTTGTGCATCCGAGGAAGTGTTTCTCTGCAGCAGCTCAGGCTGCTTGCTGGGGCTTTCCAGGAAAGCAGGTCTGTAAGCCAGCAGCCCTGGGCATCTGCCCTCTCCCTTTCCGTGCTCTTCCGTGCAGCGTGTGGTGGGAGATGGCAGCGCTGCTCCCTGATGCCTGCGGTGAGTCGGAGGCRGCTGCGGGCGCTCGGCAGCCCCGCTGGCTCTAGCTGTGCAGTGGGAGGCTGCGCACAGTGGGGCGGGAAGCTGGCACGTGCAGGGCCGACGTGCAGCTTTGGTGGCCCCTGTCGCTCCCATCAGCGGGAGGGTTTGTGGCCATGGGGCTGCTGCGCTTGGTGTTGTCTCCTTGCCTTGGTGAGCCCGTGCAGAGAGGCCAGCCGCTCCGTTTTCCCCCTTCTTTTCCCTGTGTGTGCAGCACCAACCGGATGGGTTGCCATAGCAACCCCTGCACGATCCGTGCRGCTGCTTCCTGCAGCCCAGATCCGTCTGCCGTCTCCCGTCTCCCTCGGCACTCAGTCCCCTTCCCACAGCCAAAGGGCTGGGGYTCTGTAGGCAGAGCCCTGAGGCTCTCGTTGCTGCCCCCATCTCCCAGGGCGTCAAGGAGCAGGTGCCGTTTTCCAGGGCACACGAGCTGCGGATGGGAACGAGCTTGGAGCGTGGTGGGAACCGCACGCTGCYGTCCCGTATTTGGGTGTTCCTGAGGAGGGCTGCGCGGCGTTTGCTGCGTGCCCAGGGCAGGCACACGGGCTCGGAGCGCTTCCCAATTAAAGGCCAATCACAGCRAGAATTAAAGCATCTTATCCTCTCCTTCTGCAAAAACAGGCTGCCCGAGTAATTCCAGGCAGCTTTAAAAAAAAGAGGCCCTGGCAGTTGACTAAGCCAGACTGACAACGAGTAATTACTTGAATTCGTCCTCGGTTCTGTGCATAGTACGTGGAACGTGCTGTGGGTGAAGAATAAGCTTCTTCAGAGCAGGGGGACAGGGTGTGAACCCATTTGCTTCTCTAGCCTGGGGCATCCCAGTGCAAGCCCAGCTTCACCTCTGATTCCAGTTCCCCTCCCCAAAAAAGTCAGAACCTGTCCTTGAAGGGCTGTAACCCCCAGAGCTCAGACATTGAAGGACAGGTCATGACTTTCTTGGGGTGTTTGCAGTTAGGATGGGGTGACGGGAGGGTCAAGCAGTTACATTCTCAGAGCCTGTTTCTCTTCCCTGGCAGGACTGTCCGTAAGGGCTGTAACCAGAGCAGCGGCGGCACCAGGAGCTGATGCGGGTTCTGGCCGAGCAMTTGGCTTCCTGAGAACAGAGGTTATTTCCACCACTTCATAAACAGGTGGCTGTCAGATGAGCTGCCCAGGGACATTGTGCTGTAGTTTGTGTGTCTATAAAAAGCCCCCCTATCCACATTCACATATGATGCACAGGTTGACTTGTTCAAAAAGAGGTAGGAGCAAATCCTAGGGCTTAGTCTGCCTTTCCCCTCTTCAATTGTGTGTTTAGAGAGGGGAAGGGGAGGAGTGCTCGTGTGCCACTCTGTGCTCCAGCCGCTCAGGTCTCGTTCAGCTGATGCTGCTGTTTATTGAGCTGCTGTCAGAGCAGATGCTTTAAAAGAGGGAGCACATTTAACGAGCACTTGCCTTCTCCCTCTGTGCCCACGGTGACCTTCAGAGCCGGAGGCGGCCTTGGGCACTGTGGCTGCTGTCCAGCAGGAGAGCCCAGGCTGCTGCTGGCCCTGAAYTGCGCGGAGCCAGGCTGGAGCTGGAGAGGATTTCCCGGTGATTCCAGCTGTGCCCTTGGGAGCCCGGGGCGGCTCAGGGCTGTCCCCTCGGGCACAGGGCAGGGAGGAGGCAGGCGGGGGGCGGGAGGGAGGCGGCCGCGCATGCCCGTGCGCAGGAGCAGCCCCCTGCCCGCCCGCCCGGCCGCGCGCACAGGGCGGCTCCGCGCGCCCACACGGCGCCCGCGCAGCAAAGAGCCGCCCGCAGCCACCGCCACCACCTGCTGCTGCCGCCGCCGCCGGGCCCTGTCCGTGGTGCTGCCGCGGCCTGTTGCGCTGCACCGAGCGAGAGGAGCGGCCGAGGGAGCCTCCGGCAGGCCGAGCTGCGCCCGGCCATGGCTGCGCTGCCRCGGCTGCTGCGGGCGGCCGCGCTCGCCCTGCTGCTCTGGGGTAGGTGCCTCCCGCCCGCGGCCCCCGGCCCCRCTTGCTGGCCCTCTAAGGCTCTGCCTCCCTAGCGAGGCTCCTGCCACGCTGCCTGGAAGCCCGGCCTTAGAAATGGCTTTTAATTTTGTTTGCGAAGGGAGAAGGAAATCACATTCGTACCGAGTTAATATGAAAGTCATGGAGTTAATATGGACAGAGAAAATGCATTAGTGCTAAGTGCTCCTGTGGCAGAAAGCGTGTGCTTTAATATGCATGCAAATTCTTTAGCGATGTCAGTTCATTGTTGTTCTGAAATGTGCAATGTAATTTCACATCTGGTTGCTTCAGAGAGGCTGTGCAAACCCCTGTGCTGTGCGTATTCATGCCTGTTTTCCATGCTCCCTGCATGATCTCCCGTAGAGGAGATGATTTCAAAGAATTGTCAGTGTTCTTGGCAAACAAAGAACGGGTTTGTTAGTTCTGCTTACATGCATGCATACACCGAGCTCTGTGGGTGTAGACATGTGCATCCTTAATTTAGCTGGAGTTAAGCCTCTTCCAGGGGGTTCTGCTTTATTTTTCGCCCAGGAGGCCAGTGCCACCCATGGACTGGCAGTATGGGAGACCAGGAACCTGGTCCTTTCCAGCCTGGGTTCCAGGCTCCCGCTGTGCTTAGGGTGAGGGTTAATGGCATCTGGAGCCCTCGGCGAGGAGCGAGCAGCCAGCAAAGGCAGCATCTTCCCAGCGAGCTGAGCTCTGAGCTGCGGAGGCAGCTTTGCACAGACGTAACCCAGTCCTGTGTAGCCCAAGGGACAAGTGTCAGCGGGGATTTCATCTGAGATGCTGTGGTGAAGCACTGCGTTTCATAAGAAGTCTTTAACTTCGCAGACTGTTTTTGGTAGTGCTTGGGAGGGCCCTGTTCCATGGTGACAGTGTTAGCACTCATCTATCAGAAGCATTTTGAAGAAGGATGCAAGTAAAATCAATACCCCTCCCAGCTGCCAGGTTTGCTAGAGGCCAACTCCCTTGGTTCCTGGATACTTTTTATGAAACCAAGAAACAGGAAGGGCGGTGAACCCTAGCAGTTGGTTCTGAGCACACTGCCAGCCTAAGGCACCCCCCCGACAGGAGCCTCGGGAATCGCTGTGACGGGCGCACGCTCGCTATGTGCGCGAGGGAACGCACAGAGCCCCTAGAGCAGCACCAGTTACCGGGGAAGAAAATGCAAGCTGTGGCAAAGCAGATGCTGCAGAGGGGAATCTGCATAAGGCGATGATGGTCTGTTAATTAATATGAATTATTTTTATGTCAGAGAAGGAAGCTTGATAAGAATTGACATTTGTGACTTACCTGGTGTCAGAGGATAATAGATCAAGTGGTTTTCCATTGGGGCTGAGGGATGCATAACTGATTTCTGTTTCTGTCTTGCATTTCCTACCTTTTTTTTGTTGTCTTTTCTTTCTTCCTAGCTGGTTTTTGCTCCGCGGTGTGTGTTGAAGTTCCTTCGGAGACAGAGGCTGTCCAAGGGAACCCCATGAAGCTGCTCTGCATCTCCTGCATGAAGAGGGAAGAGGTCACGGCCAGCACYGTGGTGGAGTGGTTCTACAGGCCGCCCGAGGGCGGGAAGGATGAGCCTGTACGTATGCCTGGGAGCTGCCTTCTACTCTCAGAGGTGTCACTGGGTAACGTGGCCCAGCAAACTTTGGCAGGGGAAGCCAAAAGGTATCACCAGCGTATAGCTTGGTCTTACTACAGGGTCCTTGATGAAGACTATGGGAGAGAAGAAGAGAGCAAATATGAGCAGAAACTTTTGTCACTTTTTGATTCAGAGAGTATAGTAGTAGCAGCAGGCTGCTCTCCTGTTCAGTTTTCTAGGTTTTGTAAAGAATTATGAGTTTTTGAAGTAAGTGATGGCAGGCTGTGATACATGCTGTTTCCAAATAGACCCTAGCCCAAAATATACTTGCCAAATGCATGTAGCTAGAGGAAAAGGTWACTCCTGTGTGCCTTGTCTTCCTGTTAAGATATGAATCAGTGATTAATCAAAATATCCCTTCATATTTTCTCACAGATCTACGAGTACAGGAAGACAAATCATGAATTTCCAAGTCGCTTCAGTGGCCGCCTACAGTGGAACGGGAGTAAAGATATGCAGGACGTATCCATCACTGTGTTAAACGTGACCCTGAATGATTCGGGTATCTACACCTGCAATATCACCCGGGAGTTTGAGTTTGAGATTCACCGGCCTCTCTTCACAAGCTCCAGACTGATCCATCTCACCGTGGTGGAGGAGGGTATGAAGGATTGGCAGAAAGTGTTTTGTGTCTCAAACTGTCTGCTCTGCCTTCCCGTCCTTCCTTTCCTTCTCTGTGTTTAGATCTCTCTCAAATTACTGTTCTCCCCTAGTGCAGAACAATCAGGTAACACCAAGGAGTAAGAACTGCAAAGGAAGCAGTGTATGAAGGGAACACTAGCCAGCAGTGAGCGATCTGTGTGAATGTGTGCGTTGCAGAGAATGCAGGGCACCCACAAGCGTTTAATTCCTGTGCACGCGCTCCATGGAATCGCTGCTGGAGTGTCCTGTKGGCAGCAGGCTCTTGCCCTCTCTTTCCATCCCTCACAAAGTGGTGGCACTCGGTTCTCTGTGGAAGGTTGGTTTGGGAGGTCTGAATCCAGCTGCTGTGCTCCCAAATAATCAAAGATTGCTTCTTTTTCTTAACAGCTGGCGAAGACTTCACTTCGGTCATCTCTGAAATTATGATGTACATTCTTCTGGTTTTCCTCACCTTGTGGCTACTGATCGAAATGGTCTATTGCTACCGGAAAGTCTCTAAGGCAGAGGAGGCTGCCCAGGAAAGCGCGTAAGTGTGAAATCTCCCCGGGTGTGACCTGTTGGCAGATGTCTCAATCCAAGCTGTACTTCACAAAGACCCAGCTTTTCTATTGCACGTTTCTAGCTGCTCTTTGCCATGTCTGAGAGTATTGCAAGCTGTAGGAGCACTGAAGGAGGCCACGTGCTGACAAAGTGAGGGACTAAGTAGCAGGTAGGAAGAGTGTCCCAAGTGCGCAGTAGCTGGACAGTGGCCTGGTACAAAGGACCTGTGCAGAGGTGGTTTCCTGGAGGTTTGCTTACAGAGCTCTGACTGTACGTCTGTGGCATATGCTGCTTTTAAGATGGTGAGGAGAAGAGAGATTCCAGTTTCTATAGTGTCCTATTTTCCATCTTTCTACACACGACTTAGATAACAATGCTCTCTGCATAGAAAAAAAGGATATCTGCAAAGGATTTTATACCCAAGAAAGCCTCAGTGTTGGCTCCTGACATTTYCTACACCAAGGAGGGTTTCCTCTTCCATATTTTCACTTTCTGCAGGTGAAATTTGGTTCTGCAGGGGTACGGCTTGTAGGCATTCCATATCTTTCAAAGGCTACATGAATCTGGACTGGTTTTGCACAGTCCACAGTGCACTAGAGGTTATACTTTCTACTTTTCTTCCAACTGCAGGACAGACTACCTTGCAATTCCATCAGAAAACAAGGAAAACTGCGCTGTGCCTGTGGAGGAATAGCAAAGAGGAGACAGGGGAACAAATGGCAGCAGGGTAAGTGGTGAGCAACCAGTCAGCTGCTGCTTGTGGCCGTCAGCCCTTCAGCCTGTGGGTTCGAAGGGGTGGTAGAGAGGGATTTCTGGAGTGTCTGCTGGAAATGCTTTGTGTGCAGAAGACCAAAATCGAGATGTTTTGAGATCTTTTCATGCTAATGTCACAATTTTCACTTCATTAGGATCAAATGACTCGCACTCAGAGTGGGATTCGCTCTCTTGCAGGGACTTTGAAGACAGAAGGACCACATCATGCCAGTCAGGTTTGGGAGAACTCTGTGCTGTCGGGAGGAAGTACGGGGAAGTGTGAATTCTCTTCCATTTGCCTTGGACTCGGTACAACCTTGACTCTGGCTTCCTGACTCCATTCTGAGCTGTTGTCCCACTTGCTAAAGGACTCTTCTTTGAAGTGTGCTGAGCAAAGGGTGCAGGGGTGTGGGCAGCACAGCTCCTTCCCAAGTTTCACTCCCACCGTCACATTAATGGCTTTGTAAATATTAGTGTCATTTCTTATCTGCTGTGACTATCACCATTTGGTTTTGCAAAATATGCTCTCATTTCTCCATTGCAGAGGTAAAGGCTGTGTCACATTAACCTGCAGGACTGGAACTCGCGTCATTTTGCAGTGATGCTCCATTTTTGTTACAGCCCACGCAGCCACTATAGGTGTTAAACAGGAAAAAATTAGTTAGCTGGTTGCTGCTTGGTAAGTTGCTGTGGCCTTTAAGCTGCCAGTGCAGGTATAGAGGGTAGCATGAGGGGGTATAATGCATCAGAAATCTGGCAAATGTGTAACAAAAAGGATAAGTCCCTGTGCAAAGTCCAGATTCGCTTCTAAAGAAGCGAATTGAGAATCAAAATCCTTAATCTCAATTCTAATCTGGCAGCCTGTATAAGAATCCCTTATATTCTCCCTTTCACTTAGCAAAAGTCAAAATTTTCACTTGCTTCCATTTACCTTGTATAGCAGATTTCTCCTCAAGGACACAGAGACCCCCGTGACAGGACAAACTGGTGTTCTGGACAGCAGGCAGCGTGGTGGGACGAGCTATGCAGTGAGCTTGTGTGGGCAGAGCCCTGAAAGCAGGACAGCCTGAGGCACACAGGCAACCAAATTAAACTGCCCTCGGTGGGGAAAGGACAGAGGGCTTTGCAGGTAACAGTCTTGTAACCCTGGCAGTTTGTACCATAGAGTAGCACCACCCAGAGGCATAAGCAGGAAATTCTTATTCTTTAGTAGTGATTATTCCTTGTGGTAATCAAGTCTGTAGTTTGAATAGGCCGGTGTTCATCTGTTGCACAGGAAAATTCAGCGTTTCCTGAATGCAGCAGGTAAAGCCAAGTAAAATTTGATCTTTGGCCTCTGGAGACAACCAATATAGGTGGGTGGAGCTCAGYACTAGGATTATGTGGAGAAAGGCAGCAGCATTAGCATGGAATGGAACTGTACCTTAATACAAAATGGGAGATGATGAAATTTTTTTTTTTTCCATATAGTGCATATTGTTACCTACCTGCTGCAATGGAGCCACTCCTGCTTGCAAAACTTTGAAAACTTTGCAACACCATTTGCTTTCACATGGTTACAAATGCTTGTGAATCTAGGCATACTTCCCACCTATGGCATTTCTTTTCTTGTTCTGCTGCACTTTATGTGTTCCTAAAATTGCAGGAATTAATCCAATTTTATGTCAGGCCACATTTCAGAATTTCTTTTTGGAGTGAGCGTTAACCTTAGTAAACTACCACAATCTCAGTCTTTGCAGTAGGGTGCCTCTCAAATGCAGAGCAAAGTCTGGCAGTGTGAGCACATTTTCCAGGTGAAGCACATTTGTAATCTGGCTACTGGTTCCTTAAAACTTAATATCCAAAAGGGGAAAATTCAGTTCCTCTTCTGACTCTGCTGGGTGTCTTCACTTCTCCTGGGCCTCTGGCAGTTTGGGACATACTCCTTACTCCAGATCCATGGCAGCAGAGGAGGGAACACATGGTAACTGCAGGGATTCCATCGCTGACCTGATACCTGGGGTGGATTTTAGGTAAGGTCACGTAACCTCTCTCCTACTTGGGCTCTGCTTCCTCTCGATCCTGCTGAGGGACTGGTAAYGCTCTGATGCCGCAGCACGAGGTGCATTAACTGAAAACATTTGGAGATGCATCTCAGGAGGTAAGGAGAGTCGCCCTTGAGGCCTGCATTCCAGTCCCTTACACGCCTCTTCTCAGGATGTCTTTTTTTCGATGCCTCTTTAATTTATCCAGATGCTTTGGACAGATGTGACTGACCCACTGTCTTCTAGGTGGGGGAAAACAGTGTGTAAATTTTACTCACAGAAATTTTACTCACAGGAAAATAAAGAGCCTGTTTGAGGGCAGTGTTAAAGACAGGCTTTCTCCTGGAAGAGATGGTCTTGGTTGGTACCTGAAAAGACTCTGTCTGTCTGTCTGTCTGTCTGAAAACAATAGAAGAGACTTCAGAATAAGCAGGACAATAAAAACTACAAAGCACCCAAAGTACGAGTCACTCTGATAGTTTTTTTAATTTATACCATACTTCCATTGTACTAGCTACTTTACATTAAGTTTTGGCTGTGTAGCCTTTATGATTTCTAGGTTCTAGCAGGTAAGTTTCATTATCAGCCTTTGCGCACAGCGCAAAGTTAATAACAGTTAGACAACTCCTAAGACAGAACCGCGGTTCCTCCCGCCACCCCCCCGAAGTTCCCGTTAGCGCGACGGGCGGTCGGGAGCACTCCCCTGCCCGGCGCCGGTGCCGCGATCCGCAGGGCAGTGCGCACGGAGGGGTGATTGTGCGAGCCCTTTCCTCTCCCTGCCGGCACGAGATGATCCGTGTTCACTGGAGGTTACGCACAGTGCTGCAGGACGCAGGGCCTCGGCAGGCAGCGCAGGCTCCCGGTTTCCAGCAGCTGTATCCAGCCTGAGAGCAGGTGCTGAGGAAGAAGGACGCGGCGCCAAGATGGTCGGAAGGGTGTTCGCCGCGGGCCAGGAGCCAGGTTAGTGCTCCCATTATCTCCTGCTGCCCGGGAGGAGGCTCCCGAGGGCACAAACCAGCGCGTGAGCCCAGTCCTGCCTCCTCGCCGGGTAACGTTGCTGCTGCTCGGCGGCCGCGCTCCCCAATCGCGGCRCTGCCAGGGCCCAGCGGCTCTGGAACCGGAGCTGCCCGCCTGTTCTCATCTCTGACCAAACCAGAGTTGGGGCTGGGGAAGGCGGCCGTTTACACTAGCAATGGAATTGGCCTGAATGAGTGAGGTAACAGAAACGGCCAGAGGATGTGCCTCCCTGAGCCATGTGCAAATATAACTCCTTCCGCAGAAGGAAGTCCTTTTCTTACTGAAAAAACAGAACACATTCACTGGAGGAGCATACAGAGGGCAGCAGGGGAGGCGAGCAGGGGCAGCAGCGCGGCGGTTGTGCCCCGTCGGGGCGCGATTGTCGGGCTGAGCGGGGCGGGAAGGGCGCAGCCCTGGACRGCGCGCGGCCCTGCTGACCGTGAGGCCGTGCTCTCTGGCTCCGGGAGGGAAAAGCCTCTCCAGCCACGGTCAGTCAGGACATGAGATCGGGGGTGTTTGGCCAGTGTGCACATTCGGGGAAAAAATATATATATATGTATATGGCACAGAGAGACTTGGGCTGTGGAAACTGCAAAGCATAGAGAGATGCAGGAGGAATGGGCCAAACGGCAGCACGGTCACATCTTGAAAACTGCACAAATGTTTGAGAGCCACTTACCTCGGGTGCTTTGGTTTGGGAGTCTCTATTGGGAGTGTCACTTAAACGAGCCCTGCTGATACTTTAACCAGGGCTGAGACCTTCTGAAAAGTCTGAGCCAGAGTCCACTGCCGCACCACAGAACTTCCCAAAGGCAGCAGGCTTGGCAAAGATCCGTTTGGAACGAGCTCTCTGGATTTCAGCAGGTAACTTGCACAATCTTGCCAAGAAACTGCAGGGTGGTAGCAGCGGCCTCGGCAAACRTGACAGAATCGCTCCCCTTGGGCCAGGCCCTCCCTTCCTTAGCCAGCAGTGCTACAAGCTGCAAGCGTGTTGCTTTAAAGCATTGCTTATAGACTGTGCTTTTCACCTACAGCATGCGAGGGAATTGGAGATTTCCAGCTTTMAATTAGTAAACAGTCTGCTGCTGTCCTGGCTGGGAGGAAGAACACTGACAGACCACTCGGTCACATGGAAAATGGCCAATTCAATACGTTCCTCAGAGCAGGAGGAATCACGGAAACACTGAGGCCCTTTTACAGAGAAATTCTCCCGAGCAGGTGAGTACCTGCAGGGTGATGGCAGGGCAGGATTCAGCCTGTTTTGCACTCTGTGACAGTGCCCATGTGGGGACACGGGGCCCTTCCTAGAGCACGGCAGGAGGCTGCAGACTAGCTGCACTTGGGCAGCCGTGTTCACAGGTGGGTTGTCCAAATACTAAGTTATGTGTGTTCCCTTTGTGCTAACTGTGCCCCTATGAATAAACCCTAAGGATGAGGAGTCACAAAGGTTTTCCCATTTCATAAAAAGATCCATTAACCAGGCAGCAGTGAGTTCAGTCCCCTGAAATGTCTGCCACTAACCTCTATTTTTTGAAGCTTATTTGTCGAGAGCAGGTCTGGTCTTTGGGGTTATCTCCACCACGCTCTCCCTAGTGCTGCATGGCATGAAAGCTGCAAATTGCCCTCTCTGTCTCCTTTCTGTTCAGGAGCTTCTGGATCACTGGAAAGTGATGGAAATGCAGTTCTGAGACGGAAGAGCAGCTAGGAAGGGGAGTGCTACAGAGCGCAGAAGCTCTACGTTCACCTGAAMCTGCAGGTACAGCCTCCTTCCTGGTTAACGTTTCTGACACGCTGCAAGCCAGACAGAGGTCTGCAAGCGAGCCCTTGGCTCTGCCTTCATGTTTTGCAGCCTTTCCTGGCATCTTTCTATCTGTACAGAAATATCTGCAGGGTCTAGCCAAAAGGTCTCATCATGAGCACCTGCACCAAAAAATGTCAATTTGAAAACACCAGCCACCATCTCCTCTTGCCACCTGAGGCATCATAAGCCTTTAATCTTTGCTAGAGTTCACACATGCCCTAGAGTTACCTGCACTAGATACATTTGGTATCTATTTTATAACATGCATTAATGCCTAGCAGTTTTCTAGGTCTCAGATGCATTTTGAGCTTGTCCCAGATGACATTATCCAAAACACCTCGTCTAAGTAAGCAGTAGAAGGCAGACAGGTACTGGAAATGAGATTGTATGAAGCTGGGATTAATGAGTACATATTCCTCCTGCATAAGCAGGTAAAATATGCAAAGAACAGGCAACAACTTTTGCYTTCTCTCCTCTCCCTTTTCCCAGTAGGTAGGTTGGTATTTGGCAAGAATTAGGCTACCAACTGTTGGCATTGATCTGTATGTATTAAATTTGGCTAGAGCAAGGCTTTCTAAAACATGTATTTTGTAGTTGTTAAATTTCTGCAAATTAAAGCCTAGCTCTGCTCACCTGGCAGATGACCAGTGGCAGAAGGATTGGATGGAGGACCTGGCAGGGGAACCGTGTTTGTGGGGTGCCATGAACCAGCAGCCGCGTGGCTTTGCTGGCACAGGTAAAAGCAGCAGGGCAAGTAGGCAAGTGAAACCCTGTCAGTAAGAGCCAAGCTACTACTTGGCTGTGACCACTTAGGGAGTGCAGAAATACTCCCTCCTGCAACCTCACTCAGGTTGTTGGGCCTTGTTCCTAGAAAGCATCACKCATTCACTCAGGAAATTTAATGTGAAAGTGCAGGACAAAATTTTCTATGGATGCAAAAGGAATTATTCTGTCCAAGGGAACTGAACTGCAGTAGGAGGTATTTTATATCTYAACTCTGGAAGAAGACATCCAGACAAAAGCCTTGCTGTGGTTTTGGTTATGCCTTCACCTCTAGTGCCATTGTGGGGTTTTGCTTCCGAAAAAGAAAAGAAAAAGCTTTCTTTTAAGAGGTGATAAAGGGTTTTGACTCCCTTCCAGCTCCAAGCCTGCTGCTAAGTGGCAAAAAGCAAGCCCATCACCTAGGAGTCTGAGACAAGGTAAGCCYTGCTCAGTCTGAAGGACCCTGCGTACTGCAAGGCGCTGTTTGTTGAACAGCAGTCTTGATCCTGGTGACCTGTGTATTAGGCTACCTGTCCAACATAAACCCACTTTAGAGTAATGTGCAATGTAACGTTCCTACCTAGGATTGCTTTAGGTGCACGGCCTCCTGCAATTYGGCAGAACTTGGGAAATTCTCTCTCTAAGGCCAAGTCCTGGGAAGCTGCGTCAGTGGGAGAGTCCAGAACCTAAGGAAGACTGTGAGGTGGAAAAGTGCTGCAGAGGAACAAGATTCACACATGCTGCTGCTTTGAATTAATTTCTAGAAGAGAAGAAGGTGGGCAGGAAAAGATTTTTGTAAGCCAAGCAACTGTGGAAGGGAATAATGGGGAGCCAGGCCTCTTTCTGAGGCAGTGAGCAGGTGACAGGGGGTGGTGCTGGGACCCACCCATCCCAGCACCAGCAGCAGAATGTCCTTCCCAGGGGCTAGGAGCTCAGTCTCATATACAGTAGCCTTTGCAGCAGCCTCACTGGAGAAAGCCAGGGAGTCTTACAGTAGTCAGCAGCATTAAATTAAATAAATAGTCATAAATACAGGTTACAACTCCCTAGTTCCCCAGGCATGCTTTTTGCTAACTGTACCTGGACTTTTCCACTCCTGGTTTTCTTCTCAGCCACCTGCCTTTATTTTCATGCCTTCAAATGTGAGTCTTCTCCAGGACATTCTGCGGATAGCATTTGATCATGGCGCTTGGGCACACTGGGAGGAATAACCGAGTTAGCCCTAGCAGGCTGCGTGACTGGGGGCTCATGAGGGTTCTCCTTGCTCTGGATTGTCCCCCAGGTGTGCATGTGAGAGGCTATGATAGGGGGACACGCTTACCCTCTGTCTCCTGCTCTTTCAGCACCCGTGGGAACTCAAGACCACAAAGGAGCTAGAACTGCACCGTTTGGGAACAGGCAATGGACACCTCATTCCTTCCTGCCGTTTACAGTGTGGAAAAATCGTGGCGTTGAACAAGGTGGAGACTGTGGGCCTCACAGAGCAGCTAATCTACCTGCCTGGGTAAGATGAGAAAACAGTTATTAATTCCTTTGCCTTTTTAATGCATCTCTAGGGCCTAACCTGCTTACAGGGCAAAGCTTCAGWATCCAGCTGGCAGGAGTTGCCTCACACTGTGGGCATTTGCTCAGATCTGTCCCATACCCATGGACAGTCTTTTGTTTTTCTGCTCCCCGTAACTTTTCCTGTGCTGATGCCACGGCTGTAATTGATCCAAGTATCTACGGGGAGGAAGGCTAGGAGGCAGGGTCCTCGGGCCAGGGCCAAGGCTGCTGCGCCGAGGAGCAGCAGCAGTTCTGGGGAGCAACTCAGCTCTGGCACCTCCCAGCCCAGCAAGCAGCACATGGCTCAGCAGAAGGGAGGAGGCCTCGCATGTCAGTTCTGGTTTGGGTTCTGTTCTTAACCTGGGGCACTCCCCTATAGTGGGAAGTCACATAGGTAGCTCRCCCAGCACCCATACAGATTTTGAGCGCAGGGATGACTTAATGGCAGGGACTCAAGCACGTGGAAAACAGAGAACCACAGAGAAGGTAAAGGGGACACTGTCAAAGGGATCGTGCTGTCTGTGCTGCAGCCTCCTGCATCTGAGCACCCACCATGTGGGCAGATATCCCCCCACTTCCCCACCATCTCCCTGGCTCTTAATGGAGTATCAGTAACAGGAGGAAGCAAATTAGTGTTTGGCAAAAGCACTTCAGCTCCATTTACATTCTGTGCTTTGCTCTCTGGACCAGGCAGGCCAGCGTGGCAGCAAACTGCACTTCTGCTCCTAGGGGTGTGGGAAGTGATTGCCAGCGAGACCTGCTGTGTGCAGAGCTCGAGCTTCCTCTCCAAACGCTGACCAGTACCGGGAGGGATTGACAGCAGTTGCCTCTCTGCCCCGGACTCAGCAAGGTAAGACATTTGACAGTGTCCCCTTTACACGTGTAGGCATTATACAGCCAATTGGGGACCCTCATGCGCTGGGCGGAGGGGAGGGGCACTCACTCTGATGCTTCCCTTTGCAACAAACAACAACTAAACAGACAGACAAACAGCCAGGAATATACAGAAGAGTGGTGCAAGCCCCTGGGAACACGCTGCGTGTGCCCCTGGGTGCACCTCAGTGCTGGGGGAGCACAGCCCCCCCGCCACACACACCCACACTACCCCGGAGACGCTCCAGTTCAGCCAGTGTTGGAGCTCAATCCTTCCTTTCGATACATAGGCTTTTTTTTCTCTTAAAATCTGTATATAATATATATATTTATATTCTGTATATATATATATTTATATATATATATTTATATATCCTATATACACATATTGCACACCGTCCTCTGGCCTCCTGCATTCCTGCCTGTCAGTGGAAACGTTTCCGTTTCTCCTCTGGATCTGACCCGAAGTCCCGGGACCCGATGCCATTCTGTAGGTTTATTAGCGAGTCCTTCATCTGCAAGACAAGAAATGTCTCCAATGTGATGCATGAGGTAAGAGAACTTCGGGGTTTCCCTTCCCGACCTGTGCCTTCAGTTTGCCCCTTCCTTCTATGCAGGGCATTAAAACCATATTCATCTCTTTCCTAGCACTGGTGCCTCCTGCTGGGATGTGCAAGCATAGAAATGGGCACTGAAAAGGCAGCCAGCAAGAGACTGCTTCAGCAAGGTGAGCAGGAGGCGGCGCAGGCTGAGCTGCCGGGGAGCACCTTTCCTGCATAAACCCCGTTACCAGCAGCCCAGTGTGCACCCAGCTATTTGGCTTTGCTGCTGAAACGGGCAGCTTTGTGAGATTAAGCATTTGTGGTGCCTAATCTAAGGCTCTGACCTTGCAGATCTCCCTCCTGGACTCGCCTGGACCTAAGAGATGAAAGAGAAGCTGTGACAACCTGTGAATCTTGGACACAGTGCACACAGTGATGCCAGCAGCGGCCTGGAGGAGATGGGCCTCGCTGCAGGTACGGCTGCACGATGGCAGTGCCCCCCTGCGAGGACAGTGCTGACCATCCATAAGGGTCTTCTCACCTGGTCTAGAAGCATCACCGACGACTTGATGATCTCACGCCACTTCTGTAGCTCTGAGTCATGATACTTTTGCTGAGATTCTAGCAACTGGGCCCATTCTGTCTGGGATTGGGGTAACCTGTTGGGCACAATATGAGCAAGAGTGAATCCAGGAACACTAAGGAGAGTGGGGTACAGTCCATGGTAGGGTGGATTGTGTTGAGTTCTGCCCAGTCTTTACAGCCAYGAGGCAGTTTCCCTCCCTGAACAATTCCCTGCATTTTCCTGAGTTGCATATTGCTGTTCCTCTGTTTAAACAGCAGCAGCAGCACCAGGCAGCTCCATGGAGGCCCAAATCCCATCCCTGCAGGGCGGCCTCCYGCTGCACAACATTAGACGTAACAGAGTAAAAACCATAAGAATAAAGTAATGCATCCAGTGCTAATGGTGGAAATCCTGGTCTCTATCAAATAACACTCTTATTTGTAATAAAGATTCCTTGTCCAGATAGAGGAGTTACCTTTGCAAGGCAATGATATAATGGCAGTACATGCCCATTACAAGAAGCACACATGAACAGTATGAGCCCTATACCATATAGTATAAGAGTACACGGAGGCATAATAATAATATATATTCCATAGTATGTAGCAAGCCCTCCTTGTAAAAGAGAAATGGGTAAATCTGTAACAGGAGCCAGGTCCTATCAGAAAAAAGACCCTGCTCAATTAGCATCCTGCTAAAATGTTTAAAGACAAACCAACGAGTCAGCAAGGGAATCAGTCATGGCGGGGGGGGCAGGGTTCATACTTATTTATGTGACCACATTAAATCTCAACTAGCTACTCAGAGCAGGAGAGCAGGATTATCTACGTCCAGAAAGCACCCAAAATGCCAGGCGGCCTCGCAACACGGAGCTGCTGGCCCTCACTAGAAACCACCGAGCCACCAGTGCAAGTGCCACCTCCAGAGAGGGCTCTGGAGGGCGTCCTGGCAAAGAGCAGCTGGCAGGCCTGTCCTTGTCCCTAGACAAGATGGGAGAGTCCATAATAAAGCCCCACACCAAGAATAAGCTCAGAATAAGCTCAGGCCTTCTGCCCCAAGGCCTGCACACGTCAGGAGGCGCGCGTTCAGGGAGCCAGCGTGCACAGGATGCTCCCAAAGCCCCGGGCAAGCTTCCCTGCCACCAGTTAGGAAGAAAGGCAGTCATCTGCTCCTTGCTTTTCACTGCTTACCAGGCACACCTCCASGAAACACAGGGTTGTTCTGGAGCTCACTGTCCCCCCCTAGTGCTCGCTCTCCTCACACACACTCTTGCTCCTGCAATTTGCAGTAATTGCAATAATTAATGGCAAACAGTTAATAGGGTGTCACAAGCTCCAGTTCTCATTTGGATACACACGCTTTTCTTAAATAGTTTAGCCAGCAAAGGAGGGAGGTGACACCATTGGCCCAGGGTTGCAGAACTTCTTTGTAGATCCTGTGTCCTCAACTACACGGGGGACAGGGAAGAAGCAGAAATTGCCTTTAACKCACTTGGCTTCTGGTCTAACTGTCCCAGCATTATAAAGCTTAGCTGGAAATGCTGATGGCCTCACAACTTCAGCTCAATCCATCTGAATATCCTACCTTTCCTGTGAATACAGAATGGAAAGCATCTGCTTGAAAACGCTAGGCTCTGACAGGCTGTAAAACCCTTTAACGTCARCTGGAAGCATGACAGAGGAGCCACAGACAGAGGGCAAGGAGACATGAACATTACCTCTCCTGGAGCCGCAAGCCCTGCCACGCTGTGAGTGTCTGGGTGGTGTATTCCAACATCCAGAGTTTGTAGAACAGCATCATATTAAGAATCACCAGCAACACTAGACTGGAAATAAAAAGAAAGAGACACATCAGTTTCCTATGAATGCTTCATAACTCCAGTCCCACCTGGGAAAACACCCAGTGTTTTAACAAGGTTTCTGGGGCCCATGGTCTACTCTGTACAAAGGGAGAATTTAATCCCATTAAGGATCAGGTGATCCAAGCTCAACACTTCCAACTCCTGGGAGAGATGTGAGAACAAGGAGGACAGAGAGACAAGGATGACAGATGGCGCAGACGGAGCAGGCTGGATGGGAGGTTGTGCTTAATGCAAAGAAAGGGAAGGAAACGGGAGAATAAAGAGGTAAAAAAGAGAGACAGTACCTGAAACAGATCCTAATGGGAGCAGGGAAGAGAAAAGACGGAGCAGCTGCAGGTTAGAACCAGACTGACACAGAATGGGAAAAAGGRGGGGGGGGGGGCGGTGAGCAGAGAAAGCTCATAGCAGGTACAGAAGATATATGGGGGAGGAGGGAAGAACGCAACAGTGGGAAAGGAGGAAAGAGGGCAGGACAATATCCCTGTTTTGGCGGCCGTGGGGATAAACAGCTGGGCTGSTGGTGGCTCTAGCAGCCATGTCCCAAGGGTGCCCACATGGGGCACTGTCCCATGGGGCTGAGCCCCTCTCCAGCGCAGCTGCCGCACATGGGCACGGCCTTTCCTGCTGCCCACGGGCCATGCTCAGGCTCTGCCCCTCAGAGCCCATCTCTGAGGGACACGGCTGCTTTGCTGCAGGGATGGCCACTGTAAGCCATACTGACCACTCTGAGCCRTAAACAGAGCTGTACGCCTCCAACTGGAGATTGCTTGTAAGGCATTTGTGCCTTCCTACCAACAGCATCAGCTGCATCTCACCTGTCTAGACTCAGAAGCCAGGACCAAGCTGTCTGTATGTCCCTACCTGTCCACGGCATGGCTCACGTAAGGGCAAAGAGGCAAGAGGGCCAGTGAAGGGAGCAGCAAAGATGACTTACACGCAGCTGATAACCAGGAGCAGCTTGGAGACGCTCTGCAGGTGGAAACCGCTGGGGCTCTCCTCGGGGACGTGCCGTGTCTGAGTGGAACCTGGGGAGAGGCACGCAGGCTGTGAGGCCATGGGTGAGGAGAGCTACTCGCTGCCTCCTGCAGCTCGTTCAAACACAGGTAGCCCCTGCCCCAGGAAACCCTGAGCTCCCCCATACATCCTCCCTCCCACGAGGCTCCGGTTTGTCCCCAGAGATGCCCATTCCCCACCCCAAGCCCTGAAGAACCTGCCCATTTCTGACCTGCCACGTGCTTGATGCGATGGGCAACCTCCTCATCCGTGGGGGTGGTGACGGGACTCAGCACCTCCTCCAGGTGTGGCACCCGCAGGTGGGCATGGGCCCGTTTCCTCCGGCGCACGGTTGATTGCTTGCTCACCTTCTCTTTGGGGGATTGTCTGTGCACCTCAGCCAAGTACGTGCTCTCCGTTTTGGTCAACTCGCTCTCTGCAAAGACAGGAGCAAAGCAGAGCATTAAAGAGGGGCATCAGCCTTGCAGAGCGCCGCAGCAGAGCCCAGAGGCCGTGATGCTGCACAGCCCTTACCCCTGCAGCCCGTGCAGGCTCGCACCCCAGYGCAGGAGTGCAGGAGCTGGGCACCAGCAGCAAGTGCTCCCAGCTGCTGGGGGCACAACCCTGCCTTGGCCCAGGGAAGCTACCCTGAGCGCTGAGGCCCGCTGCCTGCTGCTTTCRGGGCCGCTGCCGCAGCACCAGTCTTACCCAAGTGACGGAAATAATCCTCTAGGCCGCTCCAGAAATTCTTCTCAATGAAGGACTTCACCAGCCCCCAAGGCTGTTTCCTGTAACGTAGCTCTGTGGAAACCCTGTGAAGCGGGGAAAGCCACTCTCAGTTTTGCTTCCAGGAGGTGATGTCAATACGCAGGCTTTGGTCCATGTAAATACACAAAATAATCTTGCACGCTGCTCCTTCTGGCATGGCCTCAGCCCTTTGTAGCCTGGGTCTGAAGCACTGCCYGAAATGTCCTTCCAAAGCAGCAGCAGGAAGGCCCCAAGGGATCCCCCACCCCCCCAACAGGACTCCCAACACCTTGGGCCAAATGGCAGGCAAGACAAATCACTTATTCAAGATAAACACAAACATCCACAGCTTTGCCTGCTACCAAACTCCTCTGCTTATCCCTCAAAAGCTTCTCAGAGATGGTCTGTGGAGATACACCCCCACTGCCTACTGCAGTTTGCTTACTGTGCATGCAACTRGCTCCACGAGCCACTTCTTCAAGTAAGGGGCAAGAAAAGTCTGTAAATCCTGTCCCTCACCCAACTGCAACACCTTGGAAGCAATTTTATTGCTGGCTCAACATCACCTCTCCAACAACAGACAACGAAATGAGGCTAAGTTCTATCCATCCCCGTCTAACAGGCCAAGCAGCAGAATTCCCACCCCAGTTGTGGCTCCCGGAGGTGACCTTTGCTTGCCAGCAGGGCTGTTTGGCCCCCAAGAACTGTACCTGAGTCGGCTTTTGTTTCTGGCGACACGAGTCAACGTGTAGCGGTTGATGGTGTAGAAATAATCGTGGTAGGGAACGTCGTGAGTTAGCACCTCTGCATCTATGACATAGCACTCGCTTTCTTGGCTGGCTTTGTACATTGTCTGCAGAAGAGGCAGCGTGCAAGGCAATTATTAATCTGCTTAAAGGAGGCTTTGGTGCATGGGCATGTTTGCTGCATGTCCAAGGCCTGTTTCTACAAAGCATTATGTCCCTGCTGTCCTTTCACATACCTGCGTCTCAGTGACGGTGGCAGTTTTAGGGGCCAGAGGGTTGGTGAGGGTGATAGTGTACAGGATCACTCTGGTCTGATTGCCGTTTTCTTCCTTCTTCCAGGGATGAAAGATGATATCTGGGAGAAAAAGGAATATATTGGTTTTTCAGTGGCTTTGCCTTGCCCTGTCAGAGTCTCCTACTTTCAGAGTCTCCTACTCAGAGGGGCAGTAGAGCAGTTGCAAGAAGAGCCTCATTGTAGCATGGCTTCAGATTTAGAAGTGCCTGAGGAATAAAGTATCTGGGAAGYACTTCCCCCCCATCAGTATGTGGGGACAGGGAGAGGCTGGAGGTGTCTCTCCTTCTGCAAACCAAGAGCGACATGGAAAAGGATGACTGCAGTATGAGAAGGAACATTTTCTTTGTAAAGTCTTCACCTGCATAGTCTGTTCCTGTGGCTGTTAAGCTGTCAGCTGAAGACAGCCTCAGGCCTTAGCTGATGTTAAGGGGAAAAAAAAAAAAAGAGCCTGACTCTTCTACAAACTTAGATCTACCTGGCTTTTAGAAAATATAATTTAGATAGCCACACAAGGCTGGTTGTCTCTGCTTCCAATTACTGTGGGCAAAGACAAAAGCGATCCCAAGATTTTCTCAGAGTATAACTCAACCCTTTTATCTTCAGGCAAACTTGCACCTCCACGAATATAGTCAGGAAGCCCCCAGAGCTCACCAGAGAATCGGCGCTGTTCCATGAAGTCCCTCTGGAACTGGGAGTCCGTGAAGAGCAAGTCGTATAGCTTGTCCACGCTGAAGTTGAACACCTCGTTCACATACTGACGGCCATTGAGATCCTCGTAAAAGGCCTGGACTTCCCCTGGGAGGAAACAGGCAAAGCCCAGCTGTGAGCCTGTGCTTTCAGAGTACCAGGACTTCAGCTGGTTTACTCTAAGCTCAGTGTAAAAGGGACCCAAGGGGGGTTCTTCTTTTCCTCCATTGGTCCCAGGCAAGTGTTACAGCATCAGCAAGGGCAAGCAGTCCAGTAACCGCTGCCCTGATGCCTCCCTGGAACGGACAGCAGAAGGCTGAACATGATGCTGGCAGAGTGGCCAGCATGTACCTTCATCATGGGTCTCCGACGAGTCACTGAGCTCAGTGGGAATGTCTTCATTGTCATTGAAGTCCAAGGAAGGGGAGTTCACGGGGGCAATGATCTCTATCTTCTCTCCCATGATATTTGCAATGGCCAGGTCTTTCTCCACAGGACTCTCCACCACTGCCTCCTCCTCTTCTGGTAGTACACCATCAAACTGCAGCAAGGATAGAGCATAATGAGGGCACAAACAGAAAATGGAACCTAAAAGCTAATGCTATGGACAAGCAGACACCCTTGCTGCTGACTATCTCAATTCACAGACTTTTTGGACAGGCACATTTTGCTCGTTTTATCTCAGGTAAATGCAGGCATTAGTGCACTGCTGTCAGCTGCAGCAACAGAGGAGCTGCAAGGCAAAATATGCAAGATACCCTGCACATATAGAGAGGGCTGGTAGGATCCCAGAGACAGGGATCACTGCTTCCACGGAGAAAGAGCACTTACTGAGGCAGGTGCTTCACTGCTTCCTGTAGATGTCAATGTGCTGGCAGTGACAGATTTCTTTGGCAGCTGGGGGCTGGCTTCCTGCTTGGCCTCCATGCTGCTTTTTGAGGAGCTGTCGTTGACTTCATTCTCTTCCACGGGGATTTCTTCACAGTAGCTGAGACCCCACAGAGAACACAAGTTTTTATGTTTACCCCTCTCAATGCAGCTACACCTAGACACATGGTGCAAGTAAGACAGTTTCTATGCAGCTGGTATTCTGCCTGGAAGCAAGAGATATCAAGCCCGAACTTCTCAGGTATGCACAAAAATCACTGACAAATATCAGCACTTTCTGACCAGGTGCCACACTGAGTGGCCTGGCGACTCTGACATTTTGCTTTTTGCCATGAACTAAGAGCACTGATCATTCAGCTCAGCTAGGAAAGAGGCTGCCATGCCAGTTCCTGCTGACATCCCTGAGGAAGGGTCAGTCTGCTTTAAGCTAGTCAGACACGGTACATCTAAGACCAAATGCTTGGCCAGAACCCAGCATCTCAGAGGGCAGAAAGCAGGAGCCTCTTCGTGGCATGTGATGCCCCAGTGCTCTTGCCCACCCTAGGCCAGTTTTTCTTATCACACCCAGATTTTCTTCCTCCTCACTTACCCCATTGTGTTGAAGTCATCGTCAGGAGGCACRTAGTCTTCATCATCGCTGGTCAGACCCAGCTCATTCCCGTAACACTGGTGGACAAAGTGCCAAAGCTCCTTTGGACACAGAGGCTAAGTGGGAGAGCAGAGAAGAACACACATTTCCACCTGAGTTCTTAGAGCTAAGGAATTGCCCCCTCACAAACCAAAACTGCTGTCACTCAGGAAGCTTATGCCACACACATTTCTTTCCCAGGATAACATTAACTCACAGGAATACAAGGTTTCTTTCTCTGAGTGTGAGATTCTGACAAARGACTTGATGGGAGGCCAAGGCCGTCCAGAAACTTCATCTCCCCCAAATTGCAATGTTGCCCTAAAATATAGCTTGGTTGTTTTTCCATGCCATAATCTCATGTTATTTAAACAGCCTTAAAAAGCCAACATGGACCCTAGATTTGGAAGAGGGCTTTTTCAGTGCTTCCTGCCCATATTGCTCCAAATCTCAGTTCCTGTTTGCTTTGACATTGAAACCAAGGGCACCGAATTCTGTTATGAACCTCACAGGGCTGATTAAATTACAGCATAGGGTAGCAAAACCAGCCACGCACCGCAAAGCGATCCTTCTGCACACTCAGTACTGCCCTCCTTTCGGGACGGGGCCTTCCAGTGCACGATTACTTAATCCTTCCAGCACGGAATGACCTGGGCTCAGCCCAGCTCCCTCCCCAAGCGCTTGCGGCCCCGCAGGGCTGGCTCTTGGGGCTCGCTCCTGCAGCGAGCCAGAAGTATTGAATGGTCTGTGTTCCTGCTGCTCAGAGGAGACATGAGACACCAGGCCCGGCGCAGCAGGTGCTCATCCCTGCCTGTTTTAGCACCTAACCTATGGCACCCTGACCCGGCGCTCCCTGCACCTGCCATTGTTCTCACATGTTTCGAGGGATGCCCCGAGCGCACGTTCTCGTGCTGTCCTATCTTGAACTCTACCCTTTGGGAGCGCAGACCTGCCAAGAGCTCTGCTCATGCAGCCAGCTACTAGCGTCACGGTTTTAACTGCTTTTTTTCTGGCATGTTTCACTGGAGCTAAGGCTCTCTCAGAACCTCCTTCCAGCGGCATATGCTTCCACGCCTCTGCTGAGGCACAGACATGTGCAAGATATGGCTCTGCATAAAGGGAACTGCAGGCAAATTGAGACAATTGCACGTGCAGTTATGTCCCCACTTTGCTTGAAAACACACTTACTGCCTCTACATCCTTTTTCACATACAAATGAGACACAAGCGTTACACTTCTGCATCAGTTCAACGCTTCCCTGTCACCCCATCCCAACACGGAGGTGCTGTTCTCTGTACCTTGTCAAGGAGGGCATTCTGCCAGAGTCTGAACATCATCATGTACGTCCTGTCTCGGGCCCCAAAGGAAGTAAAAAAGTGCTGAATGGGAAGAGGTGGAGAGAAAAATCAGTTGAGAAAAGGCCCACAAAGGGGGAGAGGAAGAGACAGGCGTGTTTGGATCACTTTGCAGCCGCCGCTCACGGAGGGAGTGAGCAAGCCAAACAGCACAGCTGCTCGGACCCAGGAAAGGGTCGAGTGTCTCTCACCTGAGGGAGCTCAGCTGGCCGGGCGCCGCTGCACAGCTCAGCTCTACCTGCCCCACRCATCTCAGATTGGTGAGGTCTGCACAAGCTCTGCACCTCCCTTTCTCCCCCTAGGGCTTCCCTCCAGCCCCCGGGCACCACGAGCAGGTGATCTAGAACCAGCCCCCAGAGGCAGCTCATCACACCTAACACTCCCCTGCCCCCGAAATCCCTAGAGAGAGGGCCCCGAGGTGGAGGATTCAAGGGAATACCTTTTCAGTGTCAGTGCAAACTTGGATGGCATTAGGAATGAGCCGTGCTGTTTTTTCCTTGGTCATCGAGCAGATATCCTTCAAGCGGACTGTCAGCTACAGTCACAGCCATGCAGAAAGGGGAAGGGAGAAAATGGAAGCAGGTAGAGAGAGACACGGATGAGAAAGGCCATGGAAAGAGTGCTTTTCAGGTTGTCAGCCACTGCTGACATAAAGCACATGCTCACGGGACWGTGCGAGAGCCTCACCAGCGTTTCCCAGCGGAAGATGTTGCTGTAAAAGCAGATCCAGTTTTCGGAGAGGTAGAGGCGGCCCTGCAGGAGAATGTCTCTCTGAAGCGCACATGAGTAATCTGTGGGGAGAGAACACGGTGATTAAGGAGAACCAGCAACCAGGCAGGACAGCCCAAGGGTGAGGATAAGCAGCAGCACCAAGAGAAGTAGCTGCTTGGCACAAGCCTGCAAGAAGCCAAAGGCAGAGCAGGAAGGTGCTGGGCCACATTTGCTGCTCTGTGCTCAGCTCTGGGATTCCTCCCAGGACACACCACAGGCGACCTGTCTTGCTCCCTATGTTGCTTCATTCGCAGGGCGTTCTGAAGCATCCTGCAAAATATGTCCAGGTTTTAACCCGTGTTTTCCCTTTCACTTTCTCRAGCCCTTGTTCATCTAGTTAAGCATCCTAAGCAGTTGGTGTTCTTCCATTCTGTGCATCTTTTAGTGGCATGTAGCATGCGATGAGATCACCGGTTACATAAAGGGCAGATGCAGCGCCCTAGGCACTCACTCGTCTGCTGCACAGCCAAATGCTCCCCGTCGGATGCGGGGAGGCCGGGAGGTGTGAGCAGGGAGCCCGGGGCACAGGCAGCGGGATGAGGAAAGGGGGAGCTCAGCAGCCCGCGCGCTGGGAYGTGCCAGCCCAGCTCGCTGAGGACAGAGCTGAAGCCGAGGGAACGAAACCCATCACGAGTGGCAAGGAGGGCGACTGAGCGTGCACAGGAAAGAGGCGCCGAGCTAGTTCCTTACATGACAGTCTCCTGAAGGAGAAAATACCTGCACGCCCCGTGCTGGCCTTGCTCCCAGAGCACAGGCTGCACACGAGCCCGCAGCACGAAGGGACTGGCCTTACCTACAATGAGACGTTCTGTGTCAGGAAGCTGTTTGAAGAGTTTCCTGAAATCTTCGTTCCGTTGTTTGTATGTTGGACTCAACACCTGTAAATAACAGAGCGCCTGTTAAAGAGAGGGGCAGGCATGGGTAGGAAAAATGGAGCGGGAGAACAGGAGTACCTTGGTAAGGAGGAAGGGGAGCGGATGCACTCACAAAGCATGAGGCCAGGAGCTCCCATCCCAGCAGACATACGGATGGGAGGCTTTGGGATTTAGTGCATTAAGTGAGAGGAAGAGGAGAACCTGCCTGGCCAGGAAAGAGCAAGAACAGGGCAGAAGGGCTTGGCCTGTGCCTGCCGGGCAGCAGTGCGGAACGGTGCGGAGCAGCAGAGAGGAGCTGCCTGCCCTGCTGCTGGCTAAACCCCRCGGGGAGCTCGTGCTGGGGTGACAGTCCTGGCTGAGGCCTCCTGCTGCTGCTGCGCAGTGCAGTGCAGCGCAGTGCAGCACAGTGCAGTGCAGCGCACRCTGCCCTGCTCCCAAGAGCCCGGGCTCCTGCGGCAGCAGAGCTCGCTCCAGCAGCGGCAGCAGGCCCGGCTCCCAGCCCACCCGCCGGACAAGCCCAGCAAGGGGGACCGGCCTGCGCGGAGCCGCCTCCTGTGCCCGCTCGGCCCTCGCTGCCACCTCCTGCAGCCGGGCCCCTCTSCCAGTGCACAAGCAGGATCTTTCCCCCGGCAGGACCTGCAAAAACGTCCTGCTCACACAGGGCGCCTTCTGTTTGACAAGAGGGGCTGGGGGGATCGCAGGGAAGGGGCGACAGGAACAGTATTTAGCATCAGCCTTACAGCATTTTCACTGTGGTCAAGTGGAAGAAGCAAACACGGACCCCCTCCCACTATCACACAAAACCCATGCCCTCCTTCTTGCTCCAGTGCAGTGAACTAGAAACGCGCCCCCCTTGAAGTCTGGCTGCACTCCATAATCCACATTTTAATAAGATTCATTAATAAATATTTTTCAATAGCTCAGCACTTCAGGTGTTTGGGCCCAAAGGAAGGAGTTTCACTTCTGAATAAAACACGCATGCCAACAGATTAAAGAAATATGTTTTTCTCAGCAAACATCTAGCCTGAACATCAAGTTAGAGACCGTGGCCAGAGATGGGCTCCAGCAAGAGCCTGAGCCCAGTATTTCCTGGGGCAGGCAGACAGGCTAGGCAAGGCAGGTGGAATAAGGATCATCAGTAGAGCTGAGCTTTGGGCTCAGTGCCTCACAGCGAACAGCCTTAGCAGAGCAGCTTCCATGGGTAGGGATGCTCTGCACCCTTCCCTGCATCAGGGATGGCCCGAGCTGTCCAAAACCTGGATCCTACCAGACCCTCCAGCTTAGCACCAGAACCTCAGTTACCAACGGCTCACTTCAAAGACACTCACAGCTGGAATTCCATCTGATCCGTGGCTGACACTTCCGTGGGACCCCTCGAGAAGCCCCTCCAGGTCCCAGAACAGGCTCGGGAGCTCCTGATGCAGCTCGAGATCCCAGAGCACCCCGCACTCCAGCAGAGAGTCCATGGCATTCCCTCTGCACTGCACAGATCCCTGCTCCACCTCTGCTTTTGCTCTTCCTGCTGTCACCGTTTCTTGCTTAGATCCGGAGCCGCAGGAGACCCAGGAGCGCGGCAGGAGCGCACGTGGTGTCCCCACCTTGCGGCTCCCGGCCGGGCCGCCCGCCCCCGCAGCCTCTGCCGCGAGCGGAGAGCAGCCTCTGCCCTGCTCTGCTCCAGCCCCACCACGTCTCGCAGGCGGGATCCGTAAGGGAGCCCCGCGCAGCTCCCGGGCCAGGCCCCGCGGCCAGCGCCGCCGCAGCAGGGAGCTCCGGTCCTAGCGGAGAGCAGGGAGCTCCGGTCCTGCCGGAGCAAAGAGCTCCGGCCCTGCTGCACAGCACGGAGCTCCGGTCCTGCCAGCCCTGTGGGACAGCGYGCTCCGTCCGCCCGCTCTTTGCTCTCTGTGGGTGTTTCTCGTGGCGGGAGCGGGGGGAGATCCCAAAATGCCTCGCACATGCTTTGAGTTACTGTAGCCGCCTCGCTCCACCGGCCAATGCCCTGCAGTAACCCGCGCTCAGCCCGGCCTCCCAGCAGATGTTTCCTGGAATGGAAAGTTGCTGGACAGGGTGCGTGTCGGGGGAGGCGCCGGGGGGGCGCTGGARTAAGAAGAGACCATCTGAGGAACAGAGCAATGATGAAATCCACCTTGCTGGAGCTCAGCGCGGTTGCCAGTGTAACAAACCCCAGCCCTGTAACAGAGCAGGCAGCCAGACAGCTCCCGTGTTTCCGTGCCCGCAGCCCCCGCTCYGGGGCCGTCCACGCAGCGGGCTCCTCGCCCGGGCTGAGCACAGAGGGCCCTTGTGACAGCAGGGGCTCCCCGCAGGTAGGGACAGTAAACATTAACTCTAGGGCAAACACAGAGAGACGGCACAGGGTGGCACTGGCGAGGGTGGAGAGCAGAGGCCAGGGGAAAGGGTGGCTCTCCCACGCAGTCTCCCTGCTCTGAGTGTCAACACAGCGCCAAGGGTTCCCGCGGGAAGTGGGGCTCGCCGGGGGCCGGCAGGACAGGAGAAGCGCGGAGGGAGGCAGAGCCCCGGGTGCCACACAAAGCAGTGGGGAGAGATGGGAGAGCAGCAGCCAGGTGCTCCCTCCGGCATCGGTGGCCCTCCCAGCCCCGCAGGAAGATCCCTGGCTCTTGCAGAGCAAACGTCTCCACGCTCGCACTCGCCTCCTTTCCCAAGGCTCCCAAGGGCGCTGTGCTCTTCCTCCAGGGAGCAAAGAAGAGAATGTGCTGGGACCGAGAAGCAAAGGTCTCTTGCCAAATTGTGTCCCAGCCTTGGTTCACTCCCTTTCTCCCATTTGTCACTCTGCTAGGGACAGCAAGCCCAAAGTGCACTGGGAGCACCAAAGGGAGAGCACACAAGGAGACAGAAGAAAWTGCAAACATCTTGAGGAAAACGCAGAGAAAAGGGAATCCTGGAAAGAGAAGGGGAAAGGTTCCAACCAGCAAAGACAGATGCAGGGCTACAGGGACAGAAAGACCAGGTAAAAGCAGCAGACTGGTGTTACCAAGCAGAAAGCTGCCCCTGAGCCCCGATGCCCTGGGRAGTCTCGCGGGCCGCGTGCTCTTTGGGCAAGGGCACACCAGCTCGGAGTGTGCAGTTCATGAAGATGAGCGAGGGGAGGCTGAAGAGCCCCAYGGCCACTCCTGGAGCGGATCTCAGCGCAGAAAGCGCTGCCGTAACCCCAGTGGTCCTCGTGCCAGAAAAATCCCACCTGGAAGGGCTGGCAAAGAGGGAAGCTGCCCCCAGCAGAGGCGCTAGTGCRGTTCTGGCAATGCCCAGAGTGCCCAGCAGCACTGACTGCCCTCCGGGAGCTTGTACCCATCCCCACTCGCACAGCGCTGCTTTTATCTGGCCAGAAGGCCTCCAGAAACTAGAATGCACTTTTTGTTTTGGTTTGGTCGGGTTTTAAGGAAAATAACTGGGGCGGGGAAAACCACAAAGAACGCAGCCAGTGCTTACTCTCCGGATGTACTGTCTCTCATGCTGAAAATACATGGAGGAAAAACAAGAGAACACAAAGATGAGATAGAGAGGACATGAACACACAGGAGACCCACAGAAGCAGAGCACAGCCAAGCACCATGCAGCAGGGTATGGATCTCAGTGAGAAGCCACTCTTGAGTGGAAGGACCTCTAGCTGTGGCCGTGGACTTCACATGTTTGCTGTGATCTGCCCACATGCCCATTCGGGCAGATGGATCTGCCCAAGCTGCCTGGTTCGACAGCTCCCCCAGTGCCGCCTCGCTACCTGTCTGCTCCGCTGTGGTTTATGCTGCTATTCGGGCTGCCCCTGCTCCACGTGTCTGACCGCAGCCTCATCCCCCACAGTGCCTCTTCCCCAGCCCCAAAAGGGGATGCACTGAGGCCCCCACGCAGGGCCGGGGCAGCTGCCCGCCCCGAAGGGCTGTGACAGCTTCAGCAAAGCCCCCACGTGCTGCTCCCTGCTGGGAAGCCCTRGGGAGGCGCAGGGCGAGCGGGCTGCGGCCACGGGCACCAGCAGCTCTGTGTCCGCAGTGCCGCCGCGCGTGCCCATAGGGCCTGCAGAAGATCCATACAGAAGCACAGGACGGTCTGTGTTTCTGGGAGGCCACAGAGCAGAACTCCTCTCTCCCCCAAACCACCCTGAGAGATGCAAAGGGTTTGCATGGTGGCAGCTCTGGCACCACAGCAAGACACAGACTCTGCTGGGAACCCGAGGAGGCCGGGATCGGAGCCCATCAGAAGTGTGACAGAAAAGCCAGAGCTTTCGCTCCCTCTCTGGCATCCTTCCCATTCAGTCCTCCTTTGCCGGTTCCGAGCCATTTCCAACACCTCTCTTTGGAAATGGTCGGTCCACCCCGTGCCACTGCAAGGCCCCTTTGCACCTTCCCCCTCCCAAGCCCCCAACCCGCATTCGCCAAGGGACAAGAGAAACGGGAGTACTTACATTATACCAACTCTGGCTTTTCTGTAAGGACAAAATAAGAGAGAAGCATTAGTCAGCACAGAGATCTTAGAATCAAAAAGAAAGACGGACAGAGAAACTAAGTCCAATCTGGTTTGTACAATTAGTTGAAAGGGAGATTAAACAGAAGATTTGAGCGGGGTTCACAGCGTGGCCTAACACGGTTATTTCCAGTTACAGGAGCAGAGAAGACAGGCAGAAGCGCGAGTCACTGATGGGGCCCAGCCGAGGCCACAGTGGGCACGGCCCCACGGCGGGCATGGCCCCACGGCGGGCACGGCCCCACGGCGGGCATGGCCCCACGGCGGGCACGGCCCCACGCGCACACGAGCCCAGAGCTGCTGCTCTCCCTCCACAGCACCTGCCAGCGGCTGAGAGGCTCACGGGGCGGCAGCACTCTCTGTTTCCCACATTTCCGCTGGCTCCCTTGTACAAATCACGCCCCAGGACCTCGTGCGAATACAAAAGCCTGCCGGGACTCCGGGGGGGCAGGGACAGGCTTTTCCTCACAGCAGCCGGGGGGTAAAGCTTTCCACAGCAAGGACACACGAGGCGTGGAGGAAGCTGCACCGCGGCCAGTGCTGCCCAGCCCCTGCCCTGCTCCCCAGCACGCAGCCCCGGGGAGGGCGGCTGCCCCGTGCCCAGCACGGAGCGATCCGCAGGGAGCCCCTTCCGCAGGGCAGCACGGAGCCCGCTAGCTCCCATGCCACGGCACCCGCGAGGCTCCGGGAGGCGGCTCTTCCCTGCAAGCGGGGCACACAAAAAGGCCTTATGCAACCCAGGCTATGCTAAAAAAAAAAAGAAAAAGCCATCAGGGGAATTAAGCTTAATCCATGGATGCACCACCTTGTGCTCAGGAGCACCAGCTCTAAGATGCAGTGATTTTCCTGCAGATTTGCTTTGCCAGCTGTCTGTCTGGATGAGCAAAAGGCATTACTCAAAATTCCGGGGGAAAAAATCCAGAAGCAGCTAAAAGTGGCAGAGAGAAAACAGTACCGGTGCTGGGACTCCTAAAGCAGGTTGTGGTGTCTGTCGTTCCCCTCTGCTACACCAGTTACAGCACCTAGCCCCCGATTTGCCCAAATCTGGCTCTTCTGGGGCATTTTCTCCCTCTTCCCCACAAGTCTCCTGAGAGCCTCCCTGATTTGGGTACACGCTCCTGCTCTTTTGCCACCAGAGGTTTCCTTTGCCCTTCTCCATCCAACTTTTTCCTTATATCTTCAAATTGCTTCTTACAGATTTGGTTGGTTGTTTTAACTCACTCCAAGSCAGGGTGTATGGGGAGGGGAACAGTGAGAAATCAAGAGAGTACAATGGAGGGGAAGAAAGAAAGGAAAAGGAAAAACATGTTCTTACTTTGAGCAGGTTAAGTCTGTCATACTGGAAAAAGAAACCATAAGCATTAGAACTGAAAYGAGAAAAATAAGTAGGTAACAGAGGGAGGGAGTCATACAGAGGAGCGGAAAAGCTGTCACTGATCTGCAAAGACGATGCTACGGGGGCAGAGAACACAATTCATAGTTACCTGGTGGCTGCAACTGGGAAAAACTCCTCTTGGGGCACCCTGAGGAAGGAGAGCACGGGGGTGTTCAGGAGGCCTTGGCTGACACGCGGCTGCCTCTGGCTGCCCACAGCCCCGGCGCCAGCAGGGCATCACACTGCACGTGAAATGCAGCCTGCCAGCCAGCCTGGTGCCCGCRGGAGTTCTGCTTTCCAGCACCCCTGGGAATGCTAGGCTTCCAGGGGCACGGATACCTCGTGCCGAGGGAAGCACATGTGCTGCGGGCCCAGTCCAAGTACCTCTATGATCTAAGCTACTCATCTGGCTYCTGAACTGCCCTTGGCCAACAAAAATCACATATATTCATGGAAATGGATCCAAAGTAACTAGAATTTCATCATCTACTYAACGAATGGCATTATCACACGACAGGAAGGATAAAAGGAAGGAGAGGGCCAAACTCTCTTCTCAACTGCACAGCGAAAGGAGGAGATGCAACAGCCATAGGCTGCAGGAAGGGAAGCTCTATCGGGTGGAAGGATAAACTCTGTTGGCAGCAGGGGCGGTCAAGCACGGGAGCAGGGGCTGCCAAGGGAACGGGCAGCCCTGGGGACGCTCCCGAGGTGCCTGCGAAGCCCTGGGGCAGCGGCTGCTGCAAGGGCAGCAGGGCGGGCTGGGCAGCGCCTGGGTGGCACCGCGAGCACCACAGTGCCTGCACGCGGCGCCTGCCTCCCCTGGGCAGCTGCGCCCTCCCACGGCAGCACCGCAGCACGGCAGCGGCACGRCACACAGACACACAGAGGGCGAGGGACGGCAAGCACCACCGCAGCAGCTCCCCACACACACCACAATCACGGGCTCCCAGCCGCTTTCCGAGCCTCGCGGAAGGGGCGAGGAGGCAGGCAAAGGAGGGCAGCACGTTTCACTCACGTGCACGGCGCGCCCCTCCGCCTCCTCCACGCACGAGGCTGCCACCGCAGCCCGTCCTGCCCGCACAGCTCCGCTCGCCGGCAGCCCTCTGCTCCCCCAGAGCCGCATTTCCCACCTCGCCGGAGACATGAGCCCCACRATCCTCATTTGTAGCTACGGTGCCCATGCACAAGACAGCCTGTCTGCAGACAGCAGCGAGGAGCTTCCAGCAGACCCCAGGCACCCAGCAAGGCAGAACCGGCTCCGAGGAGGCAGAGGAAGGYGGCACCGTGAGCATCCTGCCCTCGGCAGCTTCCCAGGGCCCGGCCCCAGGCGCCCACCGGRGAAAGGCCACGGGCTGCTCTAGTGCCAGGATGCTGTGCAAGCCATTCTGCTGCAAGGCCTCCTCGGGCACACGGGCACGAGGGAGCAGCCTCGCACCATGCCCAGGCAGCAGCCCCGGCATTCCCGCCTGTCCGCGCTGCTCGCGGACCGCAGCTCAAATCCCACGCGAGCCCATCTCCAGCCCAGGGATTTTCCACTCGGAACCTTTCAGAGCGAGCCCATGAATTCTCACAATTCATTAGGGACAGCTCTGCTCTAATGGGTTTAAGCTGGGTTCATTTATAATCACTGATCTCTAATATTTACATCACACAGGGAGATATGTAGGGGCAGGAAACAGAGCAGTGGCCACAAATACAAAATAACCAGGCAGGAAGGGACGGTGACGGACTCCCAGCTCCCAAAGGCAGAAAGCGAGCACAGGGGACAGAGAAGGGATTACGGTGCTGTACAGCCTACCAAAGCAGGATCCTGATCTGCAAAGACAGTGCTCTGTCTGAGGAGAGGAACAGCACCTCTTAAAATGAAGCCTGAAATTACTTGGGGGCAGTTGAAGGAGCGTGGGGAGGAGGCCAGCGCCCCGGGCCCGTGAGCAAATATTGAGATGCCAGTGACACAAGTGAAAGCAGCTTGGCGGCTAGAGGTGGCGGGAGCGCCGGCATTCCCAGCGGCGCCGCGGGAATGCCGCACGCCGCGGCTCGGCCACGGGACACGGCTCCACACGGGGCACACAACACAAGAAAGAAGGCTTACTTTGGAGAGGCGCTTGTGTGACTTAATCGGAGAGAAAGCATGCAGGAATGAAAAGAGAGAAATTAAGGAGAAAGAAATCGCCTCACAAACCAAGAGAAGGAAAACGCCCAACCCCACCGAAAGCACTCCATCCCCTTCCTCCTCGTGGAAAGCTCCAAGAATTAACGTCCAGCTTCAGCAGTCACTGAAGCCTTGAACCACAGCGCTGTATGGGCACGGTAATGCCGGCCATCCCGGTGCTACCTACCCCTCCTCGAGGAGCCCATTCCCCTGGCCAAACGTTTCCCCAGGCAGCTGCAGCTGCAAGGTGCTCTGCAGCCTGGCTGCCCCCCAGCTCCCCTGGGGACACGGTGACAGCAACGAAGCTGGCAGCTCTGGGCCACGGCACGGCCGCTGCCTGTAGATCCCTGTGCGCGCACGAGGCACATCTGGCCTCCAGGGCAACCCCAGAGCTGAGAGGTCTGCAGTAACCACGGAGAAACACTCTGTGTCTCTGGAGCACGCGCACGCACACTGCCATCAGAGGTGACCGTGAACTCAGCCTCTGGCCCCATCAACCCCAGTCCTCTGCTGCCATAGGCAACAAACAGGAAGAGGACAGCGACTTCTGGGTGCACGACACTATCCAACAAGAAATGGGCAGAGGAGCCACCAACTCACTTCACACCAGCCATAAAAGTAAGGCTGTGCAATCACCTATGATTTTGTTGTGAATCACCTTTGATTCACAGCAGTGAATTTGTTTAGACTGAAACATTTTGCTAGGCAAAGCTGGAAAGCCACAAATGTCAAAGTCACAGAGCTTCCTAAGGGAAGAGGGCCTCAACTTCCCAACATTTCGCCTACCAAACCCAATAGAGAGCTGCAGCACAAGGCACGAGCAGCTCAGGAGGTGACTGAGCCTGCCCTATTCAAACGGCTCCTGGTTAGGAGGCGTGCCCGCAGTGTGATGGGAAGCGGGAGGACAGAGAGAGCAGCATGGGCACGGGACAAGGGCCGGGCACAACCTGAACCTGCCACCGTGCGCACGCTGGCATCAAGCCGCTCGCTTCGCTCACCTTGGAGTTCTTGGCCCCGCTGCGGCCCGACTGAGAGGAGCAGCTCCGCTGGACACCCTGCTCGGGCGTCGAGGGGGATTTGTCCGACGAGTGGTCCGAGCCCTTCTCCACCATGGCGTCGCCCTGGCAGTCCTGAGGCGTTGGGGAGCGGGAGCGTTTGCGCAGGATCGGGGAGCAGGCCGGCGTGCTGCGGTTGGAGTTACTGGCAGTGCTGCAGAAAGAAGAGCAGAGACTGCAACCCCCAGCTCGGACAGGGAGGAAGCGCAGGTGCGGGCTGGGGCGCGGCGCTGCCCCTGGCCTCTGCCCAGCCCTCTGGCCTCATCGGCCTCCCTCGAGCCTTGCACCCGCTGCCGCACGTGGCAGCACCAGCCGCATGTGCTGCGCGCAGAGATGACTTCAGCTGCGTGTCACTGCCTTTCTCCACCCACTCCTCAATGGATCTGCCCATGGAGAAACCCAAGAGAGAAGGAGCTGCAGGGGCTCTGAGAGGCTGAAAGGATGAGGTGAGCTCAGGAGAGCCCAGTGCGGGCTCAGGAAGGGGGTTCGCAGGTGTCCCGAGCTCCGCGCGCACGCACAGCTGCACCGCGCCGTGTGCGAGGCTCCTTCCCCAGCGTCACATTCGAAACAAAGGAAAGACGGCACAAAAGAGCTGGGCAGCAGCACGGTTTGCAGGAGATGAGGCATGGCATGAAGTGAAATTCAGTGAAATTACCAGGGGGGTTTGGCTATTGAAATATGCAGAACTACCAGGTTTCTTCACAGTTTCAAATGATGCCATTAATGTGGGCATTTCACTTTTTTCTCCTCCCTGCTGCATTTCCTGGTTAAGTTCCAGATGCTCAAACCTTTCTAACTACCCAGCCCAGTGCCTCTGATGGCCTGAGCTGCAGATAGGAGCACCAAGCCCAACCAGCCACGACGCACACAAGTGCTGGGGAACAGTGCTGGAACTGTAGCTTTACCCAAAACGCCTCCAGAGCTCACAAGGCCCCAGGAGAGCCGCTCCTGCAGCTATCGAGCCGCGTTGCTCCCATCCATGCCGGGACATGGGATCTCCTACAGCTCGTGGCGCGCGCTTGGTTCCGCACCACGGCGCCACGGAGCGAGGCGGGCGCTGGAGGCCGGTGCTGCGGGGAGCGCGGCGCCTTTGGCCAGGGTCCGTGCCCGGGACGGGCAGCCGGGCGCTGCCCAACGCTCTCCGCAGTTGCCATGGTGAGCAGGGCCTGCCGGGAAGCACGGCCCGAGCAGCCTGACCCACTTTGAAATCAAAATAATAGTAATAAACAGGGCTGCGCAGGGCCCGGCGCTGAGGGCCCCGCTGCCAGGAGGGTCCCGCACAGACAAGGCCACCTCCGCCGAGGCCCCTCGCAGGACCTGGCAGGGGTAAAGCCAGCAGCCTGCTCCTGAGCGCTTGGAAAGAGCGGCAGAAAGGGCCACGGCCAGGAAGGCACCTCGAGGCCGCCGGCAGTGCGGAAGGAGTTAATTCTCCTCAGCAGCAGCGAGCAAGGGGCTGATCGGACGCCCACAAAGCTACCTCTCTGTGATACAGTCTGACATCACCGGGAGACGAGAGCTTCGCACACTCATTATGCAGCCCAGCAAGCAGCAAGCAGATGGGGCCGGCTCCTGCTCATCACAACCCACACTCGCCTCCAAGCCAGCGTGCACGAGGGAAGGTCTCCCCGTAGCACAGCCACCGCAGCAGGCGAGCCCCACAGTCCTCCCCCAGCAAAGGGGAAAAAAGAAAGCATTGCATTTAAGAGCAGTAAGAAATGCAGGGGCTGTCGGGCATTATTTCATGCCAGTGGCCTGAAAGATGTTCCAGAGAATAGTAACCTTTCTGCACRTTCCTCCAAACAGCCGCTCAGCTTTTAGCTCGCAAAGAACTGCTCTGATTATCTGGAGGTTTCACAGAACGGTGCCCCTCTTCTATGAAATTCAATAGCACATTTACATATTCATGAGATGAAATTAATAAAATTACCGTGCTTCAGAGGATTAGCAAAACACTGCACGTGTTAGGGAGGCATTGGCCTTCTGCTCACACAGGGCTCCGCACGGTTGGTCAGATGTATTACTGACAGTGCCCCTGTCCTCTCCCAACCATCTGACACTTGTCCCCACTAGAGAGAACAGTGGCCCCGAGGGACAGAAGGGGTGAGGTGTCACAGCAAGGCCTGCGCTGTGCTGGGAACAGCTCTGCAGCTTGCCATACAGGAACGTTAAAGCCTCCTTTCTTTGTGCCCACCCTCAGCGGCACTGAGGGCGTCCCAGGACTGAATGGGTAGGCCAGGTAGTGTCCTCACATGCAGCTTGTGGCAGGGCTTTTGTAACCTGCAGATTAAATGCCTTATGAAGGCACACAGCATGCCTGGCYGGTGACAAGGCGGGGGTGGAGGGGATATAGGATATCTCGGACCTGGAAGATGGAGCTAGAGCTTTACATCTTCCCCCTCGCTCCCTGCTTRCCGCTCGTCCGCAGCAGCTTCCACAGGTTAATGCAAGGTGTCATCCCCAGAGCCGCGCTCACACCAGTTGCTCTTGCTCATCCCTTTATGCTCCACCACATTACCGTTCAGAGAACAGGGCACCTTATTCTCCCTTTTTTATCCAGCTCCCTGGATTCTGGGGACAAGAGCAGCTGGGAGCCTCCCTTGGCAAAAGCCTGGGCATCCTAAGGCAGGTCACTGATGGAAGGGCCTGTCCCTGATGGAAAATTTGTTCCTGAGGTTTGGCGTGAAGCTTCCTTGCACCCCTCCGAGCCCAAATCACCAGCTCTATTGTAACAGAGCACCTTCCAAAGGAGCGTTACTGTATATGCATTTGACTCACAAAGCAGAGACACGAACACGCTGCCTTTAGGCAACGCAGTGATTTCCACGATAGGCAGGGCTGTGCTCACCACCAGCCATCTAAGACAGACACTGTTTTTTTAGGGAATGGGGGCTCATCAGATCCCCACTGCAGGAAAACAGGCACAATGCAGCGAGCTTCCCAAACCGCCTGCACCGCTCGGCAGCCTGCGAGTCCCCCAGCGCAGCGACCACCCCARTGCAGACAGGCATGCAAAGGAGGGTACCGGCACGCGCCCCTCAGCCAGGCACAGGGCAAACAGCTCCGGCAGCAGTTCCCGCGGCCCTGGCTGCCCCTCCGCCTGCTCCCACCTCCCCACAGGTGGGGGGGAAACAACTGGCCGGTGACCCCTTCAGCGCAGGGGTAGGGAACGGGAACGGGAAGGGGGGGCCGCGAGCCGCCAACACGAGGCGCGTCGGCCCAGCTGTTGCTGGCGGCAGTCGCGGGGCCGCAGCGCAGGCAGGGCGCGTGCCGGCAGAACAAGGGGACGGCAGCGGCTGGGGGAGGGAGCGCGAGCATCCCCGAGGGAGCGCCGAGCCCCGAGCGGCAGCAGCAGCCAACATGGACTCCGCGTTTAATCTGCCTGCGAGCGCCCGGCTCGGAGGGCAGCGYGTGCCGGGCAAGCGGGTGCAAAGCGCGGCGAGAGGCGGCCTCCCGGGGCTCCATCTTGCAGGCGCTCCCACGCGGCGCGCGCACGCTCCGCGGCACGGGCACAAGGGAGGGCAGAGCAGCACTAACCTGGTAGCCATTAGGGCCGCTGGCGCCGCGGAGCCGCTAGGAACTCATTCATTCATGCACTGAGCGGCGGCGGGGAAGGGCGAGGTGGGAGGGTACTCACCTCCCGCACCATGCCGGAGCCCCTCCTGGCGCCGAGGGGCGGGCGAGGCGCCGGGGGGCGTCACAGGCCRCGAGCCCCCGGCCCGGCCGCCCCGCGGCCCCGCTCGGCCCGGCCCCGCTCGCGCGCGCACCCTTTACATAACGCGAGCGCGGCGCCCGCCCGCCCCCCACGCAGGAGAGAGTCTGCGAGCGAGCGCTGCTCGGGAAAATGACGCCTAATTAGCTGCCAAAGTGGATTACCTAAACCGCATTCAGCACCGGGAAGACTCATTCAGAATTAAGGTGACCTCAACGCCATTTCGCCTGCTCCCCCRGCAGGCTAATTTGGTTTGATTTTCACGACTGCCCACGTGTAAACAGGCCTCAGGTTTTTAAGCCACTTACCAAAGGAAAGTTTAGAGCCTGGCTGGTGCTCTGCCGATCGCTTCTGTGTTGCCTCTTACCCGCTCCTCGCAACGCGTACAGCGTCCATCCTTTCCCCCTCTCTTTAGGCTGGGGTGCAACGCTCCGCACTCATGCCCCAGGTGCCCATCTCTCCCAAGGCTGGGCATCCATCCCCCAGCARTAACACAGAGCGAGGGGAGCAGCCTCAGCCCTGCACAGTGCAAAGCTCTGCAGCTTGGCACAGAGAGCATCTCTCAGCTCCCGCTCACCTGCACCAGGCCACGCTAGCAGCAACACCATCTCTCCCACCGTGCTGGGAGAACACAGTCACCTGCAAACGGGCCCACTATATCCATAAATGCATTGCATCCAGAGATCCCGCCGCCTGGCTACAATTTTGTGACACCCTTCTCAGGATGACGCCTCTTACTACGCGTGCTCCATTTACAGCCCCGCCAWCCGCAAACATCCAGAACACAAGTCATCAGTCAGGCCAGGCATCAGCTTGCCTCACAAAATCTAATTTCAGACAAGCAAGCCTGAGTTTGCTCCTCTAAACTCACCACACGTTCACAGAGGTGGTGTTGTCAAGATATTCCCTGAAATCATGGGAGAAAGGGAAGCTTCTCAAACATTCACATGTCTACAAGCGATGTTGGGCTTGAACGATGCACGTCCCCACAAGGACAGAGCTTTTTACCTGTGGGGAATCCCATCCTTTAGCAGCATGAGATGCAAAGCTAAGTTACAAAAGACATTAGGGCCAAATCCTGCATCGTTTACCTACACATATATGGACATTTCACACRTACAGAAGCCTGTGCTCATTTTGCAGTGCCTTCTTCTCAAGATTAAATGTTTGGTTCCCTGAATGACATTTCTCCACTTTGCAGCTGGAGAAACCAACTAGCAGCAGCACTGAGTCCTCACCAAAGCTACAGCAGCATTTCTGCAACACAAACTTAAGCACTAACAATAATACAGCAAAATCTCCTCCAGTCAGAAAAAAACTAAGCAATCAGCAGCRCCATTAAAGCTTGCAACTTGAATTTTGATTTGTATCTGTGACTATCACAAGTTTCAAGTGTTTATGACAGTTTATGATGCAATGGCACCTCTGTATCCAAAGGACGGGGCACTTCTCCCTGAAACGCTACGTCTAGGACTATCTCAATGCACCAACAACGCAGATAAACTGCACTGGGGTCAGGGAAGAGCAAATGAATGACAAAAGACAAAGTGCTCAGTCTGGCCAACTTAAACAGGAGGTCAAGGAACAACAAACTCGAAATATTTACTCAGAAGGCAAGTTTGGCAATGCTGGGTAACAGCTGAAAGGGAATAGCACCGAGAGCTGCGAGGCCAGGCGAGCAAATTCACGCTGCGAGGGCCACATCTTTTTAAAGCAAACCAAACTAAGCACTGGAACTACTTCAAGGCTACACTATCCATCTCTGGAAAATAATAATAAGTGAGATTTTGTACTTTTCTAAATCTTGTGCGGTACCTCAAGTAGAAACAGAAGTCTATTCAAGAAAACCTTGCACTTTCCAGCTAACCAGAGACCAGCAGAGCTGATCTTCTGCTTTTACAGTCTTGGAATCTTCTCTTTTTCTTCTGACAGATAAAGGAGAGCAGCTGAAGTGCGATTCTCTGCCTCTAAAACCCTTGCTAAGCTGTGTCTGAGTGACTGCTAAGGCTTCCCAGAGGTTCCCTTTTTCAGGAAGCCGGCAGAGCCACTCGGCACGAGCCACTCGGCGCATCCCACAGGTGACGGGAAACGATGCGTTCCTCGAGGAACTGAAGCTGGCAGTGGACACCCTGGCAGGAGATGGGCAGCACCTGGGCACCCCGAGCTGCACAGCTACAGCTGGGCTTGAGATAAGGTACATCCTCCTAAGGCAACCCTGCTCTCCRCACAAGCCACGCCAGCGACATGGAAACAGGGAGCACACGGTAAAATCTGTCTGCAAAACATCTGGGAGCGATGAGCCCCTGGGTTTGAAAACAGATGAGGTTTCTCATTCCCCTTCCCCAATAATTGGTCATCTAATTGTAATAAGACCCTCTCTRAGAAGCGAAGGGCCTGGCACAGACTCCCTACACCTCTGTGTYGCAGCTGAGAGACAAGTTGAGAGCAGAGCAGAAGAAAATCAATATTTCCACAGCAATTCTGACCTTGTCTTCAAGCACGGCAGGCATGTGCGGAGAGCCTGTCCTGGGGAGCTGCTCGGGTACCCTCGGGGCCTGCAGGCARCAGCAGCAGTGGGGCACAGCCTGCATGGCCATCAGTATTTGGCGCACAGTCCCGCCTTGCTCTTCCCTTTGTCACCAGCTCCTGCTCGCCCCCGAGCATCCTCCTCCGGGCCGGGCTCCCAAGCGTTCCCGCTCAGAGGAGCAACACAGAGCAAGCACAACCGCTCGCCTCTCCCTTTGCCCCTCCCTGGCAGCGACAGGTTCCAGACCCGGCCGGACCTCCCGCCTGGCCGTGGAGCAGCAGTGGCACTCGGGGATGCAGCGGCACTCGGGGCGCYGTGGCGGGGAGGAGGCACCATCATGTGCTCCGTGCGTCCGGGGAGGAAGAGGGGGAGGAGGAGCACAAGGAGAGAGAGAACAAAGTGTCAACATCTTAACTGGGACACACAAAGAGCCCCTTCTTGGTAAGAACTTAATCCAGGATTAACGAGAGGTCAGCTACCTCCACAAGGAGCCTGCACTCAAAGGAGCTAATTAGCTCTCCATAATTGCCCACGAGGAACCACACGGAACTGGAGACGTCCACGGCAGCAGATCCCACCTCACCTGGGAGACACAGTCCTACCCACGGTCCTCACCACCATGCTCCAGGAATCGACATGGGGCATCCAGAAGTGGGAAGGGTGAATGATGTCAGGAAGAGGAATACGGAGAGCTGAGCTCAGCCTCAGGAACAGGCCCAACGAGAGCTGCAGTGTGCATCAGGTAGCACAAACATCTGCGGTGTGGCCAGACAGACCCTTCATCCACCGCCTGTCTTTGCATCTGCAGTTGCCCAAGGTCCCCACCTAAGTACAGAACAGCTCCCACGGTCAGCAGCATCCATGCGGATATGTAATGCAGTTCCCATCCTCTTTAATTGAGATACCTGGAAGCAAGGAGGAAGGACGGCGCAAGGTAAACCAGTCCAATCGGCTTCCCAGTCCCAGCTCTGCCCTGCYTGCCAGAAGCCTCTCCAAGACGAGGAGGACAGGGAAGGGACAGGCCCTGCGCACGTCTGCATGAAGCCTCAATAGCTGCCATTGGAGGCGGCAAACTGCACACCAGCCCCGGCTGCCCCAGCCTCCTGGCGCAGACCGGCCCTGCTCCTTCAGCCCCTGCCCCACGCCAACCTGCACTGCCACAGCTCCGACCCACGCGCTGGGTCCTGGCGAGCAGGAGGGCAGGAAGGGGCCCTGCAGACTYCAGCCTCCCTCTTCAGTGCTGCCCTGACACACTGTGCAGCCCACAGCGACACCAGCCTCCGCTCCACTCCACTGACTTACCCAGACAGAACAGACCCCCACAGCCCTTCCCAAAGCACTTCCCAACCCCAACTTCCCGATGCCCACATGCGCTGGACTCCTCCCCACTCCCACTGATTGCCTTCCTCAGCCTTGCCTGCCCCCTTCTTGCAGGATGTTCCCGTAAGGCTGTGCAGGGCTCGCTGCCGAGCTGGCCGGGCCTGGCACGAGGGCAAGCGCCACTGCCCAGCGCTGCCGGCCCTCGCAGCCCAGGGCTCCTCGCTCGAACCCTCCACATCTGCATCCCGGCCCGTGCCAGGGCAGCCTCTCCCCGAGGGCCTGCGGCCGCAGGAGGAGCCTTTGGCCTCAGCAAAGCTGCAAGACGAGGGCTGCAGGAGGGAGGGTGGCTGCACCGCCCCACTGCTCTTCTGCCCTTTCGCAACCACCACCTAGACTGTGGGCGCCAGCCACGGGGCAGGGATCAGCAARCCAGGCAAGCACCTCGCTGCTCCGATGCATTTTTTGTTCTCAACAGCGGCTGCCCAAAAGATTCCCCTCTCTGATAAAGGGTTCGCGTGGCTGGAACAAAGGCTTCTTTGCCACTTGCTGCCCAGCTCTGGCAGCTGAACTGGYTGCTGTCCACCCGGAGCAATGCACTGGCTGTGCCTTTAAGGAAGCCCTCGCTGCCACAGCCCGGCCTGCCTTAACCCTGGCTGCTCCTCATGCCATCCGCTTGAGACAGCCCTGCAATTCTCAGCCATGCTCAGCTGTGCCGCAGCTCGGCGCTCACCTTGCCGCGGCGCTGGAGACGCTGCTCCGTGTGCCGGGGGGCTCCTGTGTGCAACTGCCGCCCGGGCGAAGCCCCGAGGTGCGGGCAGGGCGAGCTGCCCATCCTCAGCACCCCTGAATGCGCCCTCCTGGCCACGGAGCCCTGCGCTTTGGGCACAACGCCAGCCGTCCCGCAGTGCGYACGGACGCACAAGCAGCAGGTCGTGGCCCACAACTAGCGGAGCTACGAGAGCCGCAGAGGGGCACAGCGCAGACGGCGGCAGGGCAAGC